CCAAGGGGACGCAGGGTGTGGAATATGGCCGGAAACAGTCGTTCGTCCATTTTGCACTCGGTGATATTTGTGCGAGCTTGTGTGTTGTGCGTGGTGTGAGCTTGAGAGTGCATGCTTACTTTCCACAGAGAATAACCAAAGAGGGCGACGGTGACGGCGGACAGGAAGAAGAGCACGGGAGTAGTGGCGGTAAGGACGTCGGCGGTTAGGTCAGGGAAGAAGGGGCCACCGTGTTCCACATTGTGCGGAGGGTTCCCCTTTGGACCTGGTGTGGGACCTGTTCCATATGATTCGCCCACATCGCCCCCTCCTGTTGGAAGCGCTATTTCTAAAGTGAAGTCGCCTTGTCCACTGCCCGCATTTTTTGGTGTATTCGGATCAGCCTGATTATTGGTAGGAACAGTTACCTCGCTACCTTGGCCGCCGCCGGCGCTACTACCCGATTGATCTGGGTTCGTGGTTTCTGGTTTTGGTTTGGGCGGGTCTGGCGGTGGTGGGGGGTCATCGTTGCCGCCATCAATGGGATTGTCGGGAAGGGTTTTACCGTCCTGAACATTTGGATCGACGGGGCTCGTCTTTCCGGGATCAACGTTTTGGTCTTCCTTTACCGGAGTTGAGATATCCGGGGATTGTGCCCGTCCAGGTTTTTCCCCAGGTGACGACTCCTTATCATCAAGGGGCTGCCCGGAGACGTCTGTAGTTGCTTGTACGTTTGTGTCAACAACTTTACCTTTATGCTCATGTTGACCATCTGGACCCGCTGACGCGGGATCCGTCCCATCCGGTTTTGTTTCTTCCGGTATGCCCTGCGGGCCCGTGTCTACCGTATCCTGCGTCGGAGCACCACCTGCAAATGCGGGGATGGAAGAAGTCATGAGAACAGGCTATGTTTGGATGATTGGATGCTTGCCCACGGTGCGTCCCTGTTGGCCACACGGTTGCCTATGGTCCGTCGCTCATGGTCCGGCGCTGAAGGCTGGCTGGACCACACGGTTGCCTATGGTCCGTCGCTCATGATCCGGCGCTGAAGGCTGGCTGGACCACACGGTTTACCGCCATCGTGGACGAGACGGCGGTTGCCCGCGGTTGGCACCATTGGTGCCATGGGCACGGCGGAGTAGGACACGCACGGACGCAGAGACGGGCCGGGGCAGGAGACGGAAGCGGTCACGGGGACGGTGCGGCTGGGACAGGGGTAGGGTGGCACCCCGGGAAAAGACTCTCTCTCTCTCCCACAACAAAAACACAACACACACAGTGTGTGTGTCGGTCTGTCGACGTCTACATCCAGCGGCCGACCCGTCGCTGTCGCTCTGCCGCCATCATTCTCATTCGACGTTTGGTTTCTCTCTCTCTGCGTTGTGTCGCTCCCTGTCTCTCCGGAAATTGTGTGTGTGTGTGTTTTTTTTTTTTTCCTGTTGTCCGTGTCCGACTATTCATTATTCGTACCTGTTGGTACATTGTTTGTAGTTGTTGAGGTTCCTATGCATATTGTGGTTGAACCCGAGCTGCCGGGAAGACCCCACTGCCCTGAACCGTATTTACTTCTTGTTTTGCCTCCTGGCAAACCCTGCTGCCATTCGTTTATGCGCTGCTGTAGGCCCCTTCCTATACCTCCTACTCCGAATATTACTGCCCCATAATCCTGGCCGTCACAAACCCCTGGCTCATATGTCTGTTTCCCTGATGTATGCGTTTGCCGCATTTGTTGCTCGACCTTCTCTATTATTTCCCTATGATCACTAGTTTGCCCATACACCTGTACTAAAACTTCAGTCGCGAGTGTACACCGTAAATATTCCCCAAACTTGCCTCCGGAGCGTGCATCTAGTTCTGTTTTTGCCCAGTTGCCATTCTTATAACTATATCCTTTTATGTACAGCATAAGGCTTGCAATTTCAAAACATCTGCTTCTGCATAATCCGTCATGCGCTCCATTATATAAGTCTCCACAAATACCAGCGTTGAGGCCTCTACCTTGGCTGAACGTCCGTGTTACTTCTGGGAAGATAATCTTGCCCTCGCGCATTAATTGTTTCTGCGGATAGAAGAATCCATATATGTGCTTGTACATTCATTCTGTTCGCGCTTCCCTTAAATTCAGCTACATTTAACCATGCTGCCTTTGAGATTCATGCATGCTGCGTGCACTGTATCTTTCTTCACCATACCTCCCTTACTGTGTGACATTTATATAAATAGTGTACGCACACATACGGGTTCCAATTTGCCATGTATATATGTTGCTCTGCACAGTGCACTATTTTCGTGCCTCCACAATATTGTGTACAATGGAACTTACCCAATACGTGCCTGCGTGCGTTATGTGCTTTATGTTTAGATAATGTTGCCATGCCAATAGAAAGGGCAGTGCGTCCTGGCCATGCTTGTTACCCATATTAAACACGTTATGTCCTTGTTAAAAAAAAGTACAAGACTACTACTACTACTAATAATAATAATAATAATACTACCACTACTGCACCGCTCAATAAAGCACAACAACAACACAAAAAAACATACACACACCCCCTTCTCCGTCAACGCCGTGTCCGTAACCCCGTCTATCCGTCAACGCTTCTCCGTCACGCCTCTCCGTCAACGCTGTCCGAAGTCGTGATAATTACACAACAACTACTTCTTTTTCGTACCGCCTTCCTGCCGTCCGCCGTCTTGGCTGCGTTGTAGAAGAAGAAAAGGAAAAAAAAAAAAAAGTAGTACTACTACTACCTACGCACGCAACGCGTCATGAATACCACTCCCCGCCGCCTTCTCCACTAAACGTCTTCACACTGTCTCTACCTACACAAAAGCCCTTGTACAATAACTACAGAATGCCAATTTCCTCTTTCTTCCATGCTTTTCCTCAATCCTCCTTCCCTCTTCCTATTCGTTCTTTTCCTTCTTAAATACTTACATACTTTGTTCGTCCTCTAAACCCTGAAACCCGGAACCCATCACCTTACATATGTGCCTTTTTTAACTATTTCTTTTATTTAACATATTTTGCATACCAATTTTTTTAATTCGTCCAAAGCCTTTTTTTTTTTTTTCCACATGGAAAAGTTAGTGTTTGTTTTTTACGCACCACACTTGATTGTTATATTTTTCCATGTAATGAGATATTTTGTTAATATTATTTGGACCAATAACACTTCAACAGGATCTATATATTCACTACATATATGTATATACAAATGTACATATATGCATATGTGTGGCATATTAAATAGATTTATTTGGTTGAATAAAATAGGAACAATTAAAAAAATACCTTTGAATTAAAAAAATAAAAAAACACAGTACCTAACCTAACGTGTTTTACATGGTAACTATGTATCATCTACGCATGATGTATACTTATTATTAGATCATCCGTCACCACTTTGTGTAGAACAACGGAGCATATAATTAATCCTTCCTCCATTGTAGACAATAACATCCTTTCATATTGGCTTATTAAACCTAGACACCTGAAAGGGCCTTTTTTTTTTCTACCTTTAATGTTACACAATATCGTATATTAAAATTCCGATTAACCATTCTGATACATATACGTGCCTTTACCATTTCTTTGTGAAACACGGGCTTCGTACTGTTGATGCAACAGGCAGCTTATTAGTCATAACATATGCGGTTTTTACACATAATATTATTCAGCTTATTCGTAATGCTCGTGCAGATTAAAAACATATCTATGTGTGTTTATTATGAACACAAATATTTATTAATGATCTATTTGTAATAAAACTCGAAAGTGTTAACTAGCAGTTTCGAGATAGAAAACATGCGACTGTTCTTTCCTTTAACGTAAAGATAAATTACGCGTCACTTTTACGAACATCATTATATTTCTTAACAAGAACTTATACATTCTTGTAAATATTTGTACTTTCTAAGAAGATCAGCAATGAATTCATAATTGTCTCATAAGCAGACAAAAAAAATAGGATTGCATCTGCTTCTTCAAGTTATATAGCCTAACTACCCTTTTATATCATCCAATTTTATGCGAACATTTCTTGAAATTCATCGAATTAGCAGTTATTAATTCTATACTATCATGTGTCAAAAATGCACAATTAAATCAGTAAGCTACACCCGTCATGGTAAACGATATGGATGGGGTACCTTAATTATGGTATATTTGTCTGCAATGTTTTTTTACCTTTAATGATTTTATAAAGGTGCTGCTCTATTACGCATTAGACTACACCTAACTGAATCGTTCATTGTATACTTACTATGAAATTTTTAGCATCAACATGACATTCACATTTTTATGTAAATAATAATAATCCACTCACATGAACCTTCGTATAATTTTCATTATATCATATACTCATTTTATCAGCTGCTTAGACTAACAAACGTAAGCAATCAAACCTTATCCAGCAGCACCTACCGTTCAGGTCTCCCCCTCCCCTTTCACCGTTGCTTTTGCATTACTGCGAAATACACAATCATGACGTAGAAAGCAATATATACCTTTCGAATATAAGAATACAGTAAAATGGACCAATCTTATATGTCACACTTTATAGGAAGGAAAAGTTTGTTTTATGCCCAAACGGTAAAACGGAACATTACAGTTTTTAGAGAATCAATATGTACTTAACAGCTATAACACTTTTGCATTTCACATGTGAATGTATTAAAAAGATTGTAATTTTTTTTATTTTTTACAAATTTAAAATTTGTATAGAAAAGTTTGATTACAATTGTATGATAAAAACAAAACAAAAACAAAATAGTTCCTTAATATATACGGAACTTGTAAACAATTTTCCATTTTCAAAAAGGTATGTCAAAAGAAATGTACACTTTAACTCAAAATGTGAATAACAAAACAAAATCAATTGCAATAATTATTTAACAAGTATGATATCGCTAGATTATAACACAACGGGGTTCTCATAAATATAAATGCGATATTGTAAATCAGCGTATTTATAGCTTTATTCATATACGCTAATTAAATTATAGATAAGCATTTCAGCATCAAAATAAAATACTTATCTACTGTTCATATATTATCTCATACAGTAACAGCATTCATAAACACAAGGCACCTTGCAAAAGAAAGGAATTAACACAATCTCGCTATTTTAGACAGGTATTTATGGAATGATATACATGCAGAGCGATAGCATGGTGCTTTCATCCGCAATAACGTCAAATTTAAATGGCATCCTTTTTTATGCCTTTTTTTTTTTTTTTATGTCATTCTCGTTTTATGAAACTCCATTTGAAATAAAATGTACACTTATGTCACAATAGTATAAACACACATTTAACGGTTACCTAAGTGTATCTTTCCTCTTATTAAAGTTCTTCACAATGCGTTACAATAATACTTCCATATATTTTTTGTTTTCAGCCATGCGTAGCATTCATAAGTGCACAAATACCATTTACAGATCTGTAGATGACATAACAACACTTGGTAGGAAATAATAATTGCGGTGCTTGTGCGTAACCACTACATTTGATTTTATTTAGAAAATTATGTTCGACATGTTGGTAGCTACTCGTCATTTACATTTTTAACTTCAAATGCCCATGTTTTCTATACTGTTACTCCACAATTGATATTAGAAACAAGGTAAAAATATATTGCACCATCTTCCACATTTTGTTATCTTCGTTTTACGCTCATTAACTGTGCTTGTTTCTATACATGTATGCCTTTCGTCCTGGTCAGCTTCGTTGATCTACTATAACGCGCGAATTATAACTGCGGATACTTATTTACTATTTGCCCATGCGTTTAGCACAGAGGAAGTCATCAAAAAAAAAATATGACACTTCCGCTGCTTCGAAAAATACCAAAAAATTGATAATATAAAAAAAGGCAACTATTTACCATGTGCATCTATCCTTCTTATTCCACATGGCAGTGCAATAAAACAACAAAAAATATATAGGACACATAATAATAATAATCAATATTTATGCAGTGCTTATTTGTATCCAATCTAAAAAAAACAAATGCCGTTAACACCCTTCATATTAGATAGAAACTACATATACGCGACAACATATACAAAATCCTTAACAGTACACTAATTTTTCATTAGGGCACCGTTTGTAGGTAACGTACAAATGCTATTTTTTTTAATGAAAAAAACAAATAATCAATTTGGTG